AGTGGGGTAATGATTGTGGTCGAGTCCATGCACTTCTCTAGTGCTAAAGATAAAAACCTGGTTATGGCATCTACACCGTACTTTGGGGTGATTGAAGAGATTTAGGAAGTTAATTATGTTGTGTTTAAAGTTCCTGTATTTAAATGCAAATGGATTGATATCAACAGTGGTGTAAGAATCGATGAATTTGGAGTTACACTGGTTGATCTTAGTAAGTTAGCTTATGCGAACGAACCATTCATCATGGCATCTCAAGCAAAACAAGTGTTTTATGTCACATATCCTTCTAATAAAAAGTGGTCAGTGGTTTTACAAGGAAAGGTCCATGATAATGATGAAAATAATGATGAGAATCTTGATATTTCTGAAACTCACCCGTTCTCAACAAATGTGACTACATTCATTGAAGAAAATGAAGGGGATGATGTGCATGCTATTCACATAGACCATGAAGAAGGGATATGGGAGGACTAGTAAGATTTTTTTTATAAGTTAATTCCACGTTACTTTATTTTCTATTTTTTTTTATTTTGTGCTTAATTTTATTTCTAATTATTTTTATTTTGTGCTTAATATTATTTCTAATTATTTTTATTTTGTGTAAACAAATACATGGGTGATTCAAACGACAACCCTTCTTCATCTAGTAACCCCAATAAAAGAAGAGTTAGAGGTCCCACTTTCATGACACAAATTAACAAAGTTCATCAAACAGGTGAAAAGATAAAGGTCGAGTTTAATGCAAGAACCTATGAATGTATTTGTGTTGGTAAAAATGCTACACATTTTAAGAGTTATATAGCATGTCTTGCTCGGCAATATTGTAGTATTGTGAAAAATGATTGGAAATAAGTAGATGAAGGCGTAAAAGATGCTATTTGGACTGATATTCAGGTATTTTAAATACAATACTTTATTATATTTTATAATCATATACTAATTAACAACATATGACATATACTGTATTTGTAGGCTCATTTTACTATTCCAGAATGTAAAGATCTAAAGAAGGATAGGTTGAAGAAATAATGGATTAAATATACGGGAGAGCGATGAAGAGGTTTTAAGACACAACTCACAGACAGATATATTAATCATCCCATAGAAAATGATCCTCCTCCATATGTCAAGTATAACTTTATTACGGAAGACGCATGGAAAGAGTTTCTCAAGATTTGAGATACCCCTGAATTTAAGGTTAGTAGGAGTTATATGTTTTTGTGTGCATAATATTTTTATTATATTTAGTGATTAATTATTTTTTGAGTTTATAATAGGAAAAAAGTCAAAAGGGTAAGGATAATATGGCTAAGAATGTATACCCACACTTATTGTCTCGTGGAGGATATCGCTTGCTTGAGGAAAAAATTATGAAAGAAAAGTCATCATCGAGAGATAATTCCACATTAGATGATAATGGTAGTCCATCTCCACCATCACGCCATGAGTTATGGAAGAGAGCACGACAAAAGAAAGGAGGAGAATACACATCAAAATCTACACAAGAGGTTGCTGGAAAAATTGTAAGTAAACAATGAAAAATTATTCAAGTATCATTATATTTGTGATTGATTAATTGTTGTTTTTGCATTTTGTAGGATTCTCTAGTTCAAGAAGCTGAAAAAGGTGCAATTGTTCCGGATGGACGTAACGATATCTTAACATTATCCATTGGAACATCTGAGCATGGAGGTCGTGTTCGTGATGTTGGAAAACGCCATAAACAAAGCACTTACTTTGGAAGGTCACGTCAACATATTGACGTAAATGAACAACTTGCAACATTAGAAACAAAACTTAGAGCTGAACTTGAAGAAAAGTTAGTTGAAGAGCGTAAGATGTTTCAACAATCATTAATGGAGACAGTTAAGTCTATGGGTTTATCACAAAGCATAGATAATATTAAATGATTGAAAAAATGGAAATTATCGATGGAAGCAGAAAAGGAAGTTGTTCAGCTGCAAAAGAAAGCACAAAAGGAATCACAAAAGACGTGGAAGTTGATGATGTTCAGAGATTGTTACTCATGGTTTTGAAAATGGATGATAACCATTTGGCAATACAATTAAGTCATTATGCGAGTTTCTCTAATTTTTATATTTCAGCTAAGTGTATCAGAGAGTTATTGGTGGATTTAGGTCATTGACTTGACGTGTCTATTCTGCAAATTTGGTGCACGTAAGTACATTTTATTGTTTTATTAAATTCAATCTCTATTAATATGTTATATCTCTCATCACTTTGATTCTAATGTTTATTTTAAAATTATTCAGGTATATTCATCGTGTATGTCTTGAGAATTCCATTTCAGAATTATATGGATTTATGGACCCTGCTAGGTGTATTTATAATGATAATGGAGCAAAATCTCAAGAGGATGTTAAAAATTACGTACTAGAAAAGTTACGTGATGAAAACAGAGTGTGCCACTTACTACCATTAATTCATGGGTAAGAATTTTTATGAAATTGTGTTTTATATTATTTAATTTTGATAACATATATATTTTATGTGACTTTTCTGTTTCCACACACACGTACAAGAGACATTGGCAATTAATAGTCATGTGTCCAAGAGACAATTTAGTTGGCGTATTTTGTTCACTTCACCGGGAAATTGACCAGAACACGAAGAAAATTATTACAAAGTAAGTTTATCTTTCATGTGACTTTCATTGGCAACTAATAGTTATGCGATTTTTCATTGGCGAGTAAATTTAGTTATGTGATGTTTATCTTTTTGTATTAGTTCTTTTGGGATTCATCAAATGGCAAATGGAAATAGAAAAAAGGCTACATGGCTTCATTCTAATGTAAGTGTGATGTAAATTATAATTCTATAGTTAAATTTATGATAAATATTTACTAATTATGTCATTCAATTGTAGACAAAGCAACAACATAACTCTAATGATTGTGGATACTATGTGATGAAAAATATGTTGGATATTGTCTCTGCTAATATAACCGAGAATTGGATGCAGGTACTAAGAATAATTTTACTTTGTTATTTACTTTTTGTTTTTCGACTTAATATGAATTTTTAAAAAATAACTCTATATTGTTATATTTATGTATTATAGGTATTTGATGACCCAACAGAATTAACACAAGATAATTTGTATGATTTGCGACTCCGTTGGACAAAATGTTTCTTTGAGTTATATAAAAATTAAGTTTATCTTGTTGAGTTTTATAGAATTGTCTAAGTTGTGATTTTTGCACATAATTGTTATTATTGAGTTTTTGCACATTACATGTGGTTTTTGCACATGTATTGAGTTTCTTGTTTTTTTTTTGTTGCTGATGTTAAGTGTTATTATTTATTGTCAGGCAATGTGATTTTGGTGTTGTCTACCGAAGCTACAACTCATCTACTTGTGGATTTTATATTGATAATTCAAGTTTGGAAAAAGATTTATAAATAGTTGAATATTTTTGTATGTTTTGTGAAGAATGTGTAAGTTTGTTGTGAGTTTGTTTGTTGTGATACAATACAAGTTTGCAATACAATTGTTCAATTTGTAAGTTTGTTGTGAAAAATATGAAAATATCGACCTAGATGTGGTCTATGTGATGTTGGAAAGCTATGAAATCTATATAGCGACATAAATATAGTCGGTGTGATATTGGAAAAATATGAAAAAATGGGTACAAATTATTTTTGTACAGGAAAACATCCAGAAAATAAATAATTTATTCTAAAAAAATTTCTTACATTTTACATCGGTTATTACTCCCAACTGATGTAAAAACTTTCAAAACTGTATATATTACACCGGGCTTAGATTATAACCGATGTAAAAAAGGGACTTCTTACATCGGTTCACATGTTTAATCGATGTAAAAAATTGCGTCAATTTTTTTAAAATAATGTTATAATTGTTTTTTACATCATTCTTAGATCACAACTGTTGTAAAAAAAGGACTTTTTACATCGGTCCACACGTTTAACCGATGTAAAAAGTTGCGTCAATTTTTTTAAAATAATGTTATAATTGTTTTTTACATCAGTCTTAGATCACAACCGATATAAAAAAGAGACTTTTTACATCAGACTCAGAATCGATGTAAAAAGTACCTGATTTACTATATCGCCTGACTTTACATCGGACCCAAAACCGATGTAAAAACTCAATTTCACCCGATGTAAAAAGTCATTTTTGCACTAATATATGAGCCCAGTAACAATATTTATTATTCTACTAATTATTAATTCAATGCAAATAATGATATGTTAATCCAACACATATTTATTCTTGCCATGTGTTCAACGACATATAATTCTCCGCCGGCCTTCAACTAGGTTGAAGGTCTCCTTTTCTCTGATTAGTTATGTGAATTGATTTATGTGTTGATTGGGGATTCAGATCCCCTGTAGCTATGCTCCTTTACATATCTAGCTCTCTTCTCGACATTTATATCCTCTCATTTAGAATAAAACTCCACTGTCTATAGTTAATGTCTACATGAAAGTGATTTACTCTATTGAATATGCGTGTTTTTAGACGAGGGACACATTGAAGTGCCTGATTTTGAGTCCATTTTAGAAAGTTCCCACAAATAACTCTTTGTTATGGGTTTATCACCTTGATTGTGGTCTCTTTGAATCGCTATAAGTATTCTCGTAAGGATTCCAAATTTCTCTGACATACATTAAACAAGTTTGTAGTGGACACCATGTGGTGCTTGCTTCACGAAAATTAATGGACTAGCTTCCTAGAAAGGTATTAATAGTTGGTTATAGAGAATCTAAGAAGGTTCACAATAAGCTTGTAGTGGACACCATGAGGTTTTATGTTGAACCCAAGAGATGATATTCCAATCTAACAATATTGATATTTATCACTTAAGACTTACATATCATAGTCAATATTTTATTTAATGAGGATAAATATTTTCCAATTATACCATGTGTGAAGATAAAATAAAAATCTTTTTATATTGAATAAAACAACTAAGTTGAGTTTTTATTATTTCTTGAGTGCACTTGCTATCATCCTAAAGTGTTTCCTGCATTTGAATGTTACCATTGTTAAACAGAAATCTTAATGAAAACTCATAAGCAGCAAATACAGCACCATTCACCACAAACGCTCTACTAACCGCGGTTCCTAAACCGCGCCACAAGACCTGATAACCTTCTTCTTTAACGCTTTTCGCGAAGCAATCGTAAATTCCTTTGTATTTGATTGCAGACAGTGTTTGTCCCTGTAGTCTTGTTTTCACAACATCAAAAGGATAGCAGCAAACCCAGCTTGCTACGCCCGCTGATCCTCCCGACACCAACATAGTATTCAGACTTTCTTTACTGCTTGTTCGACAACCTGGATGGAAATGCTCCCTCATGTATTCATATGTCCAGAAGTAAACTCCATGAGAAGGTGCATCTCTTATTACTGTTATGCCGAGTCCTCGATATATGCCGCGGAGACCCTCTTTTCTCCATATGTTTTTAGCTACTTTTATAGGACTTGTTGTTGTTGTTGTTGATTCTTTTGATTGATTTGTGTTTTGCAACTGAAGTCGAATTTTGATGAGCTCTACTGGTGATAGTAATAAACTTTGAAGACCGCCTGTGCCGATTCCGCCTAATGCCACACTTTTGTAGGATGGAGGGTCTTTAGCTGAATCAGATGGATCAAATGCTCTTGATAGACTTGCATATGTTTGAAAAACTATTGCATTCTGCAACGTAAAAGCGAAAAAAAGTTATTAATGAAAGACACTGAAAACTTCATTCGCAGATTAGACGTGTCATAGTATCTCACACGCATCGGTGTTCAACACTTATATGATACTTATACAACACGTAATGAAAAATCAAACAAATATCGAAAATCAAACAAATATCGAAAAGTCAAACAAATGTCTTAAGACAACTCAAAATACGTTTTCACTAATTTAAAAATAATAAAAACCTATTTCTTTGATGTTTCAATAGCTTTAAATATGGCTCAATGGAACTCAAAAACTTTAGATATAGATATATGATATGTCAATTTTGTGTCTTGTGCAAGTGTGCTTGTCACCACTCTAGCCAGAATATACAAAAGCACATCTCATGTCATTTTTATTGGTAATTTGTAGGTGGATGAATACAAAACTTTTGATGCATCTCATTGATTTGACGTCATAGGAAATTTTGAAAATTCTCTTTGAATTACCTCAAATAAGAATGCAATTATTATTATAATTGTGCACAATGATCCTATGTACGGCCAACACCTCTATAAAAGAGATGTGTCTATATCGAACATCGATATTGACATTTATGATCATATTTTTTAAAAATTGTTATCATATCAAAGTGTTTGTGTCTCGGTGTTGTATTCCATAGTGATTTTATCTTTAAACATTAAATCAAATGACATGGATTCATGTAACAGTTGGAGAATTTTTCTCCTACCTAAATACCTAAAGTGGATTCAGATCCATTTCATCTGACCAGTTTGAAAATATTTAATACTCTATTGCTTAAGTTGGAAAAAATGTTTCAAGGAGTCACTAATCCCAATCTTAATCTAATCCTAATCCTTTATCTAGAAAACACAACCAAAATGCTTTTTCACTAATATAAAAGTAACAAAAGCCATGATGCATTCACAAAAGGAATTAAGCACTCTCATCAATAAGTATATTCCAAATAAAAAACTACTCCATTTAGAATATTTTATTCCCCACAACATTCACAACCAAATCACAGTTTTCTTCAAAAAATTTTTTTTTCTTTTTCACATTGCATATGAGAGATTCAAAATCATGAAAAAGATGACAAGATTAAGGATGTTTAGTCAATTAATCCACACATTCAAAATCATGTTCATAAGATAAAATACACATATCAAAACCATATCTAAAAAAAACAACATTTTCCAATTCAAATAAATTCCACTTCAATTTCTGATCATGCATCTAAACTCAATAGAAAACAAGAAAGATCAAAATGGCAAAAACCCAGATAAAGATATGTTCCAGATCCAAGAATCTTATCAACACCTTAAAAAGAACAAAACTTTACCTGAAAAGTCACTGATGCCAATGGTGCAGCCATGCCACGGTACAAAGAACCTGCTCCTTCTCTAGCCACCATTTTCCTAAGGATTCCAAAAGCAGAACCATTATTCTTTGAACTCTGTTGTCTGATTCTAAGAGTATCCAAAGGATAACCAGAAATCACACCAGCAATGCCTCCAAATCCACCTGCCACAAACTCTCTACCTGAACTACTTGCAAGAAACTCTGGCCAGAAATCCATTCTTTCCTATCTCTCATTCCACAAAAACAAAAATCACCCTTTTGATTTTCTTATTTCCAAACAATGTTATACTAGAAATATCTGCATAAAAATTCAACCTTTATGGAAATTTCAATTATGGACATTTTCTACAAATTTTTCTATCTAAAAATTGTTACTTTTTCCTTAGTTAGCAAAACCCAATACAGAAACAAATTCCTGCACATTCCTATATTACTACTATATATACATGATTTTTTTCTATCAAAATCAGATGTTTTAATTTACAATATATATGATTTTGAAAAGAAAATGGAAAGATGATAAAAGCTTTCAATTCTAATCTCAGCTTTTGTTTATATAAAGGCAAAAACAAAAGGCACCGGTGGCTATTTTGTTTGCTATTTTTTATGTATTTAAAAAGACAAGCACACATTTACAATAGTAAATAATCTTAATGGTTAATTTGAGAGATTGGATATTAAAATTATACAATAATAAATTAAACTTTTAATGGTTACGCCGTCTCGATTGATTCATGTGCAGAGACATCTTACTGCAGAGATACAAAATACACAAAGACATTTTACTGCAGAGACACGAGTTTGAACCTTGTATTATAAAATTTTCTACAATAATACTAGTGATAATGTAGCTTAGGGTTGGATCGCGCCACAATGCATATGATGTCAGGTAAACTTTATATCATTATATAAAGTTGCAAGCATCTTTATCATTAATTTAGATATATAGGAAGGTAGAGAAAAAAAAATACTGTGTGAAGAGTTGATGCAAATGATCCTTGTCTCAAAGAAAAGGACAACAAATAACACATCAACTGAATCATGTGACCAATGCGTGGTTAACATGTGGAATGTTTCTCAATCATGGTTGTCCCAACTCCCAATAGAGTTTGGTTGCAGCCTAGTGTTCACCAAAGTTTTGAAACTTCTAAGTTGGTTCCAATTAAAATTGGTTCAACCGTTTCATTCTCTCACGTAACAAGAGACGTGTAACTGGGAGTGAAGCAACTCAGTGCGGTTTGTGATGGAACTATTATTACAAATATGATACTGTAGTTTAACAACAGAAATTTTACTCTTTAAAATAAACAAGTGGAATGACACATATTTCAACATCGACCACTATTATCTATGCTTCTACATAGTTATCAAAAACCGAAAGGAGCCATCATATATTTTTTTGTATAAAGAAATAAGTTGGTATTACTTAAAAAGAAAAGGTTCGAGGGTTGGAGGAGCGTGAGTGTTTGCAGAAAACTTTGTTTGTTTGTGTCATGTTGAGGTACGTTTTTAGTTTCTTTAAGGAAAGAGTTTGAAAGTTACAAGTTTGTTGGGCCCTCTGACATCACCATGTCGGCATTTAGTTTGAAGAAACTCTACATTTGTGCAATGTGGTCCAATGTATTTTTTTAAAGAAAAATTGATTAAAATTTTCACACCTTTATAATTTCTATAATTAGTCTCTTAAAAAAAATAATAAAGATAAGAAATTCTCAATATTTTAAAAAATATACAAATTCAGTATATATATAATTGCAATCAATTCAATAAGTAATAAATTTGCGTCCAATACGATTATAATCGACGTTTATGAATGAACGTCTCTAATTCAAAATCGAATGTGAAACTTTTGTTTCATTCATCTCCTTTACAAAATAATTTAAGAGAGAGATCTAATCAACGGAGAGAAAAAGACTCATAATATCTATGTAAGCCTTTCGATTTAAGTGTGGGAAAAACACTTTAGAAATTTTTTGAAATGTCTCTCTGATTCTGAAAATGCATTTTCTGATGCATTTTGAGTCTCACCAAATCGCGTCCACTTGAGTCTTAACCTCATATTTTCTTCTAACGTTTATTTCAAAGATGCATCTTCAGAATCACTCCATGTACATTCCATGCATTCTCCACTGAAACACATTTTTTTGATATAACCTGATCCAAAGATGCATCTCAATATTCACATAAGACAAAATCTAGAGATGCATTTCTGTATTCACACAAAGTAATTTTTAACTTTGCTTTATAGATGCATTGATGAAATTGACGATGTATTATAGTTATATTATCATTTTCAATTTTGTATAAATTAAACCATACACTTTCAGAATAATATGAAAAGAACATATATAAATTAATAAATCTAGAGTACACAATGAAGTCAAAATAAAATAGAACAGAAAATAATGTTCCTAATACAAATACTATATACTACTACGTATGACGGGCTCGCCCTCCTCCCCCCCCCCCCCCTCGTTCCTACAATGCCTCATATACTACAGTGCCTCCCCTATCATGGCATATAAAACATCCATCACCTTAGAGCCATCCGGAAAGAGTCATCGGTCTATACCCACCCGTCCAATCTCCATGATACGACAACACCTATGCAACACATCAACAACATGATCTGCCATAGCCTGCTCCTCCTCTAGTATCTCTTGACGATATGACCTAGTTGGATCTCCTAGAGCATTTGGTGTCATAAAAGAATGTGACACTATGAAATACCATTGGATGTAGTCGTGTAGAACACTCTAGTGGCTGGAAGCCATGGTACTATGTGCCTCATCAGATACCAGATGATTAAGGTAATCATCATACATGACACCCATATCTCTACGTGTCATAGCAGGAGGAACAAACTCAAAAGGGTCTTTGGTAATAAACTGCATGTAATCGAACTTTCGCATGACATATTCAAGCAGATGAGGATACATCGGTCGTGAACCAAAATTCAAACATTCAGAGTAGAAGGAAATGTCGTCCAAGGGATGCATCTCATAGTGATCGACGTACATATGGAAGTGTATATCCTCTGCTACTATGTAATCATGATACACTATGTATGGCTCTGTCACCTGATTCTCTCTGAGAGGGATGAATGCAGAAGCACATGGCATATCCTCTGTGTAGGTCGAAGCACATTGTTGTACCCCAAAATTTTCCCTCCCATATTCCTCAAGATTTCTCAAAGGTTGCACAGTCAAATCACCTCCTAAGGCAGTCAAGTCGAAATTAGGGTTTTGTGTTGCATCAAGGTCCTTACATCCAAATGACCTCAAGTGCTCCTTAATGTCCTAACTTATGCTCAAATTCAGGTTCGGCTCAAGAGTCAATTCTTTAAAGAAGGTATTCGACTGTGTGAGTTTTCTAGAAGAAATATGGTGAAAAAAGTGTGTTGAAAGTGCAGTTTTTACGCGCTAAAAAATTCATAACTCGGTTAATTTTTATCGGATCGGGCTCATATTTTTACACAAGGTCACTGACTCAGAGATCTACAACTTTCCTTCAAAAGTAGAGACCAAATTATGCACCAATAAATACCAGTTTTTTATTGAAGAACGTGTCAGAGTCGACACTGGAGCCCAAAATAAGTTTGTCTGAGCTGAAACTTCAAAAATTCATAACTAATTCACCGTTTATCCGATTGAGCCGATTTTCGGACAGGAGTTATTTCTCGATATCGGCTACATTTTGTTTTCACATTTCAACTTCAAAAATTGCACTTAAGTCCCTGCGATTTAGCCTAGAAAGTGACGAACTCAAGTGAATATTGGAGGCCCAATTGCACATTCAAAGCCCACTTTCTTCCACTTGATTCAGCTTTATCATACCACATACATGTCCCATGATTAATTTCAAGATCAAACATTTATTTTTCTATTTTATTTAATTTTTATTGATTTAATTCATTTTAAATCCATAATAATTCAAATAAAATCTAAAAATCAATGGAATGGTATCTTTTGGATTTGAATAGCTTTCATGCATCATGGGCCAGCTCACAAACTCATGCTAGGGCTATGTTGTACACAAAGTCTTGGTTTTTGCTTTAAAAAGAGAAAGTTTGTTAAGGATGGAAAACCTAAACCTAATTCTCTCATGTGCATGGATCAAGGCCCAGCTGATGACCTAATTCTATTCCTTTACATGTGCTGAGTCTAACCCTAATGCTAAAAAGGTGCAAAAGTGGCTACAAAGCCATAACCAAAATTCAAAAAAAGGAGAAAAAAATTGAAAACTGAAATCAACATTCAAGCACAATTCAAAGCCTCAGAGTGATTCAAACACATTGCTGATATTCCCAGGAACCTATTGCAATCCAAAAACAAGCCTCAAAGCTCAAGAACACGGCTAAACAGAATCACGGTTTGCTTCTTCTTTTTCAGAATCGAAACTCGAATTTTATGCATCATTAACATGTTATGATTATTGCTTTGCATTGCTAACATCATTCTGAAGCTAATGGTACAGCTTAATTATTAATATTATTAACTAATAAATTAATATTTTTAATAAAATTTAGAGAAGAAAAAATGTAAATACTTTCATTAATTATTATTATAATTTATTAATTATTATTTTTGTAAATAGAATGTAAATTAATTTAATTAGTTAAATTAGATTAACTTTAATTTTTTTTTTACAATAAATAAAATAAACTTAGAATTAGGTTTCATTAACTTTTAATTTTAATTCCTTTTTCTTTTTATTTTCATTAAAAAACACAAAAAACATTTTTCTTGTAAATAATTAAATAATTAATTAGCATTAGGTTTAATTTTAATTAATTGCAAAAAAAGGACAAACCACAATTTCTTTATTTCTCAAAAGGGTCAAAAACCCTAAGGACGTCCTGATTAAATTTCTACTCGCGCATTATTATTTATTTTAATTATATTATTGTAACTGTTTCCAAGGATGTAATAATTAATTAGGATTTACTGCTTTCTTTACTTTTCGCACTTATTTATCAAAATGGGTTTTTGTTTTTTGGCGATGTATAGACCTGCGCCTTGTAATAGCGTAGATTCATATTTCCGCACTTTATTTTCTGCACTCTTAACTGTTAATATGCCTGCAAGACTGTATGCCTAATAAAATTAATCCGTAGCTCACAAATGACATGTTCAAAGATAAACATAAACTGAAAATTGACACATTTTCACATGCCACTCCTAGGGTACGCCTCACTTGGTTGCCTCGAACGTGGTC